CAACAGCAAAGGGAGTGATGTGATTTTTGTCACTGGCATGTTGCTGTGCATCATGATCTGGCTTTAGAGGAACTTCCTCCAGTGCCAACATGGCAGGAGGTGGGACGTGAGTGGGGCTTGGTTACCTGTGTCTGTGCATTTGGCTGTTCTGCCCCACTGCTGTAAAATAATAATCACAGCCCTGGGAGATTATAAAACAGCATATTTGGGGTTGTGCTGTGCCCAGAGTACAGCGTGGGGCCCCTGAGGCAGAGGAGCAATGTGGTCAGTCCCCATGACCAAAAACCACATCTGAGAAAGCCCCAGCTGCCGTGACCTGCCACACTGGGCTTCATTCATTCTGCAAAGATTCCAACACCCTGCCAAGCCTTGGATTGTGCAAAGAATCCAGCCCCCTGCCAGGGCCAGGTAAATGCAGTGCCTGGGCAGAGCAAAGAGTGACTGTGTTTAATGTGTGCTGTGTACTTACCTCACACCTTTCCCCCCTGCCCTGACCCTGCTGTTGTGCACAGAGGCAAACCTGGGCTGTGCTGACAGGGCACTGAGCACAAGGGCATTCCTGGTGAGCCACATCGCAGCTCGGGGCCCCCTCTCTCTCCTCTGACAGATGAAGGGGTGATGAGCTGCTGTGCCATCCAAAACTCTGTGCTTGTGCTGGTAAAATTAGAGAAGAAACCATGCCTCACAGGCTGCTGGGATTTGTGATGGCCCGTTCATTTGCAGGCAGGATCCTAGCTCAGAGTGTGATATTGCTTTCTCCCATGGGAGGCAATTCAGTGACACAGAATTTTCCAGTCAAAAAGACGGGATCTGCCTGTTTTAGCTTGGGCTGTGTGTAGACTTGCATCTGTAACGTCTGCAGCTGAGATCTGAGACAACTGAACCTGCCTAATTGTTGCTGTGTGTATGTGCTGCATGTATGCCAGCCTGGATTATACATCCTCCCTTCTCCTTGCTTCTGCTGCCTGGGGTGTGCTGTTTCTGCCACAGTTAAATGTGTCATATTTTTATTGAATAGCAACGTCCCGACTGAAGAGATAAATACAACACAGGCATAATGAATCATGGGCTCCATGGACTTGCTCAGCTCCAGGATGCTGGAGCAGGCCAAGGGATGAAACAGCATGGTCTAACTCTTGTTTTCTTCACTTTTGCCTGCAAAGTGCACCCACGGGAATTCAGAAAACAATACTCATCCTGCCTGTGCAAGAATCCAAGGATCCTAAACGGGCCAGGAGGAAAAGCATGTGCAGGGAACAAGAGGGTCAAGTGGCATAGTTCTCCTCTCTGCTCAACATCCCACTCTGAGGAGGGGTCTGGCTGCTGCTGCTGCCTGGGAAGCCTGGCCAGAGGCTAGAGGGCACTGATCTTACAAAATAATCCTTGGTCAGGCTGAACATGAGCCTCTTACGACACTCCCACTATGAGAAGAATAAATGAAATTAAGAATACAAACAGAAGTGCACTTGTGCACAGAGTGCAAGCCTTTCCCTCTGCTCACGGCAGGACAAGGCTTCAGGACAGATGTCAAAAGATAAATCCTGACTGGGGAAGGACCAGAGATGGGCAGCAAGGAAGAGTGGAGGACTTGGAAACATGACCTAACAGACTGTTAGGTCTGAACGTGGCTATCCAGTGACAAAAGACTACCACAGAGTAAGGCAGTAAATCGGTCTCCCACTGGGGATAGGGGAAAATTACAATAATATTTTTGAAAAGACATTGAGAGAAACTTTCCACTTGCAGGATAAATAAGGACTGGAAAAGATACAGGTTAGCATATCTCCACCAACAGATGTTTTTAAGACCAGGTTAGACAAACTTCTGTCAAGAATGCAGGTTTTGGCAGCAAGGAAGGACAATGCATGTTGTTAAGATTAATTTTAGTATTTTTTTGTTAGCTGATTTCACTGTGCAGAAGCTAGAAGCTTCTGGAGAAAATTTCTGCCCTTGCACAGGGTGAAGGTATTTGTGCACATCCCAAACACAGTGGGACTTCCCTGCAACTGCTCTTCCCAGCATGTGTGGTTTCCCTGCAGTTCAAGGACAGTCAGGTCAGGCAATCGGGGAGATGACAACTATTTATCATAAAGCTATTAGAGTTTTAAGCAAAGCGCTAAGAAATTGAAGATGCATCAAAATATTTTTTCATGTAAAAGCCAGTCAAATGCACCTTTACAGGCCTCTCAGTAAAGGAAGGAGTCTTTGAGGAAGATTCCATTTAAATGCCCCATAAAATCTATTGTTCTCAACCTTCTAATATTAGCAGGCCCAGAGTATAAATATTAATCACTTCATTGAGCAGCAGAGTGGTGCTCTGTGATGTTTCTAGCACTGCAGAGGTAAGTGTGCCCCCTCCCCGCTGATTCAGTCATGACTGAAAGACACACACATGGAGCCCAGAAAATCAGTAGTGCTGGAACACAGCAGCAGCAGCTGGGGGTGGTACAGGAATCCCTGAGCTGGCCTGGGATGTGGCTGGGACAGGACAAGAGCATGCTTGGACAAGAGCCACCTTTATATGCTGTTTTTCTGACTCTGCCAGTCTCTTTAGAGTGACAAATCAAGAGGGGTGACTGACTCCCAGCACTTTTCCCTGAACTGCTCATTCTGCAGCATAGGAAAAAATGACTTGGACGAAGATGCTGATGCCAGCTTTGTTCTCCAGAAAGAAACTCTGCTGGAAGGTAGGAGTCATAAGCCTAAAAAAGCCAGCACAGCTCAGCACAGCCCTGTGGAATTTGGATGCTCTCCCTCACTCCCTATGTGGTCTCCTGTTGCTGCTTGCCTGGGGGCATGGCAAGGTGAGTGGGTGAGGTTCACCCCCCAGAGGCTCCTGGGCTCCAGCACGTTGCTACATTGCTTTCGGTTATATGCAGATTTTGTAAGAGTTTCCAAAGGTAGAGGAAGGGTTTTCTCCACCATGGGTGGTCCTGTTCAGGTACACCATGGTCTGAAACATTATTACAGAAAGAAGGGAGGGATGAGGAGAGTGTGTGTGTGTGTGTGTGTGTGTGTGTGTGTGTGTGTGTGTGTGTGTGTGTGTGTGTGTGTTGGGGAAATGTTGCCGTGGTTTGGGGATTTCTGTACTATCTAGGCAGGTGAAATTGTTAAATTATGCTTCTTCCTGCAAGCAGCACAGCACAAGGGGAATCTGGAATGGAGTCAGGGAACAGTGAGAAGGGGACTTCTGTGAGAGGGGAGTGGGTAGAGGAAAGAGGCAGAAAGCAAGCCCTGTGTGTACTTAACCTGAAGCCCTGAAGGGAAGGGCAGGGGGCTTTTGTGCAGCTCCTTGCACTGACAGCAGGTACCTACCTCCACATGGTTCTAAGTACAAAAGAACTGAGAAGATGCTGAGTGAAAGACCTCAGCTCAGGCTAAGACCTTTCTGAGCAAACATCCACATAAACATACCCCAATTAGTGGTAAGTGTGGGTTGGCCAGCTGCCCATCTCACTTATGTCCCTACTCAAGAGAGACACAGAAACTCATCTGCATTCGGGTTCAGCACATATGTAAGGCTTAACTAGCTTTTAAAGGCCAGGAAGTGCCCTAAACCACTTTGCCTGTCCAGGAAGGTGTCTGCCTGCTGTGAACCCCCAGGCTCAGTGTTCATGCTCCAAGAGCAGCACTCTCAGCCAAGGGTTCTGAAGGGCACAGGTGTAAACCCATCCAAGACCCGAGTCCTGCACCTTGTCCAGGCAAGTAGGCTCTGCCTCCCTGATTCTCCCAGGCAGTGCATCAAACTGCTTGCAGGGAACATCCCATCCAGCCCCTCTGCAGCCACGGAGAGGCACCAGGAGACATGAAAGCCACAATTCTCCCGTCAGCTCTCCCTTCAGCACCTAGCTCAGACTGGTACCAGCTGAAATGGGAGTACCTGGGAAGTGCATGGGGTTGCAACGTGAACCTGAATGCTGCAACAGTTCTGGGGGTCATTTAATTTCTGAGGGATTATTTTGTAATACTTTATGTATCCTTGCAAGTGTTTCATGTTCTCTGATGTTGGAAAGTCCTTGTGAAGACCTTGCTCTATCCAGTTGGAGCAGAGAGGTACACTGTACGAGGGAACATCATCTGCAGCCAAGGTGGGAGTAATGCACAGAGAGATGCTGGTTTTGGACAGACTTGTATGATATAACCCTGCACCAGATGCTGACTCCTTTCAAGTAAGAACTCCAGAAACAGTTTGCTTGCTCTTTTCAGTTAGCATTGGAAGCACAGCAGCCAGGATAGGCACAGTGGGACCGTGTCGTGCAGCCCCAATGGGGACTGATGCTGATTTAAGCAGGGCATTTGTTCTGGCTTGCATGGCTCAGAGTTTGAGCTTTTATGATCACAATAATCAGCTTGCCTTGCCTGGACCCCGATTAGTACATAGCTTGGCAAAACGTATTGCACGCACTGGTCCCTGCTTGTGCTTTTGTTCGATAAAGAAGCCAAAAGTAGTTTAAGGCTGTAGCCAGCTGCAGGCAGAGTAGCCGTGTGCCCCATTTGCCCCGCTGTGGGCATCCCCGGGGTGCAGGGCGTGCCCTGGAGGAGCCCCGGCCCCGAGGGCTCTCCCGGGCAGCACCGAAACAGTGCTGGGGGGAGCTGCCTGCGGCTCGCTGACGAGCTATTGATGTATCTGCAGTGCATATTCGAAACGAGCCCATGTGACGGAGCGAGGCGGCAGCTCTCCCGCGTCCGTAACGGGCACGATCGTTTTCTTTGCACACACAGCTCGCCGAGGCAGGCGGGCAGGGCCGGCGCCGGGGCTCCCACCGAGCCTGCCGCAGGGCGTGCGGCACTGTGTCCCGGCCGTGTGCGGCACCGAGCCGGCCCCTCGGCCGGGCTGCCCCTGGCCGCTGCCCGGCCCAGGGGAGCAGCGGGGCCGTGCTCGGGGCTGTCGCTGCCGGGCAGCCGCTCCTCCTCCCCGCAGCCGTGCCGTGAGGGGCGGAGGATGAGGAGGGCGAGGAGGATGCCCCGTGCCCGCCGAGCAGCCGGGCGGGCGGCGCCTCCCCCCGCCCCAGCGCCTTAAATGCCTCGGCCGCGGCGGCAACAAAGGCGGGCGGCGGCCGTGAGGGAGCGAGGGGCCGGCCGAGGGTCGGCGGGGCGGGGCTGCCGCCGAGCGCCTGAGGGTCGGCGGTGAGTGAGGGCTGAGGGCGGCGGGGCCGGCTGGCGGTGAGGGAGCCGCCGGGGGTCGGCGGTGGGCGAGGCTGAGGCGCCGCGGGAGGGCGGGAGGGCCGTGCCCGGCCGGGTCCCGCCGGGTCCCGCCGCCGCGGGGGTCTCGGCTCCGCCGTGAGGGGCCCCGGGTGGGAGCGGGCTGCGGCGGGCAGCGTGCGGCGGGAGAGCGCCGGCTCCGCCGCGGCGTAACTTCTGCTAATTCTTATTATGTTTGTAGCCCCATCAGTATAAACTTCTAAGAGCGGCAGATGTGTATGGCGGCGTCGCCTGTCCCCCTGCCGCTGTCCCCGCTCGCCGGGGCTGTGGCGGCACAGGCGTCCCCGCTGGCTGCGCAGCCCGCCCGGCGGCACCGCGGCGGGAGCGTGGGCGGGGGACGAGGCAGACCCCGGCCCCTGCCTGCCTCCGGTCCCTGCTCACCCCTGCCCGGATCTGACAGATCTCTGCTGGCCTGGGTCAGCCCGCAGGAACCCGCCAGTTGTAGCAAGGGATTTAATCTGTGAGTAATTTTAGAAGTAGCTGCATTCGTCTCTACTAGCGCACAGCAGGTCAGGCTGCAGAGAGAATAAATAATGTGTTTTTTGTGCTGCCGTGTCAGTTTTTCTAGTCTTTCAGGCAAGTCTCTGTTCCTGCATTTATGAGCCCCCGGTAAAACAGGGCAGTGGATGGGGACCAGGGGCTGAAAGAGTGGGAACTTCTGCTGCTTTATGCTGTTTCCATATCTGCTTGCTGCAACTGGATCTTATCACTGAGAGTGTCAAACCAGAAATATCTGCAAGGGGAAAGGTGCCGTGGCAGAGCAGCTGGATGTAGCAGGAGATTTTCTTGGCTGTGAGGAAGTGAGAAACCAGAGCTGCCTGTTAATGTGTGAGGAATGAGTCTAACTCTCTCTCTGTGACTCCTCCTTTAGTGGCACACTCACACGACTGCACTTGCCTAAAGACTGGTAGCTAACCTGGAATACTTTTTCTGAGCTGGGATAACTTGAAATAGATGGGAGTGCTGTGATGCAAGGCTGCATCATCTTCCTGCTCTCTGAGGGGAGTCAGTGGAAGGAGACCCCAGCAGAATGGAGTAAGTGTACATAAGGTGTGTTACTGGGGGGAGGGGACAGCTTTCTGTCCTCAGCTTTTGCTGCAAAAACTGAGTATTGTACTGACCTTGGTAGTGCATCTTGGAAAGTCTTCCTCACCTCGTAGTGTCCAGGACAAAATACACTCATCCCACGTTTCATCACTGCCCTGGGTCACCGTGTCAGAGAAGGTTTAGGTGGGGCTCCAGATGCCTGAGGAGCTCATATAGATATGAGTGATGCTAAATCTTCTCCAGGAGGAAGAATATTAACAGGAAAAATCTTCCCCGAAAGGCCCCTGGGACAGAGGCCAAGAGTATCTAATGAGGCAGACTTTTCCTGTTAGCTGTGGTTCTTGTGAGAGGGTGAGGGCCTGGGGGGCTGGAGATCTCCATGTGGAGATCTCAGAAGGCAGGCAGCCATCCCCAGGTCTACTCTGCTCTGGGCATCTGATCACCTCACCTGGCCATAAACCACTGCTCTGGAGGTCAGGCAGCTGCTGAGTCAAGACAAATCATCTATTTTCTTCTGGTTCAGCAAATAAATTGGTTTGGTGGTGGTGCTGCAGGGATGAGCAGCTCTGTAGTGCCAAGGTGTGTGCCCTGTCAGTGTTGGGGACAGGACAGCTGTGCAAGGCTGCAGCTTGGCTCCAGAGAAATCTATACACTGCTTTTCTTCTCTCATATAATGGTTGCTTTCTGTAGGTAAGCTACAGTGGAAGGCACTGTGTTTTGTGGGTGTAGTGGGAACATTGTGGGTCCTCTGCCAAAATGTGTGCCTATGGCAAAAGTGATGCATGGCCTGGAAATGGAGATGCTCACATTAGTGAGCTGCCACATTATCACTGGAACTGCAGTGCTCAGCTGGGTGTGTATGTATCTCTTGCTGGCAGCAAATGTGAGGTTAGGCTTCAGAAAAGAGGAATATCTGATCATATCTACTTAATTCTTGGACACAAAAATATTTGTTGATGTGGCTTTGAGCAGGCTGCCCACTCTGGTGGCTGCTGTTTGTGTGCTCTGTCACTTGGTTAAACCCAAAGAGTGGAAATGCAGGTGTCTCACTGTTCATGGAGACCTAGTTTTCTAGGGACAAAATAGGTGAGTACTTAAACCTTGTTCTGCAGTGACTGCTGGCAGAGTCATCTCCTGCAGGAGCTGGGGATACATGAGAGGAATTAGAGGTGCCAGTATGAGGTGGGCAGGGGTGGCCTAACAAAGGGCAGAGCAGATGCAGCCAGTAATGTTCTGTATCTTAACTGTCCTTGAGACAGTGCTGCGAGAGGAGCTGATCGCTGTGGGTGCAGAGCTTTATGTCCCTGTGGCTCTGCTGTGGGACAGGTGGGTGCTAAGGGAGCCCTGCACCGAGGGCTGTGTCCCCAGCACTCACACAGGCACCTCTACCACGGCAGTCTCACCCAGCTCCTGTCCTGCCCCAGGCTGGGGGAGCCAGCCAGGGATGGTAGTGGGCCAGGTTGTGTTGGCCTTTGCTCTCGGGCTGACTGATATGGAGGATATCATTGAACTAAAGTTCTTTGACTGCCAGGGCTTCTCCTCCCACCCTTACCCTGTCCATTGGCAGTTTTTGGAAGGGCAGAAGTGCTGCTGCAGTCATGATCCTCAGCCCGTTCCACAGGAGAGGTTCGGTGGCATGCACAGCCACCAGTGAAAATGTCATTTTCCTGTGCTCTACTCAACATTTGTAAAGATCCCTGTAATAGGTCTGACAGAGTTGTTTTCATGATCTTTTTCCAAGTGTCCAGACCTTTTCTGTAGCCCTCAGATTTTGGAAGAGAGATGTAAATCACAATTCTGCACAGGATTAGCAATCAGAGAGCATTATGAATCAATCTGATACTTTGTCTTAGTCACAACCCTTCTTAGAACGCTGACCTACATATGACAGCTTTCCCTGTAACTGCTTCACCAAGGACAGGCTTTGCTTCCCAGTGTGAGGTGGTCCAGTAGCTGGGCATGTTTGTTTGAAGAACATTCTTGGTGGCTTCAGATGTGCTTGAAGTCTGTGCTGCTTGACTGAGAACTTGTCAGGGAAGTGTGAAATACAAGTGGTTCCTTTGAATGTTCTTTTAATTATAATTGTGCTGATAAAAAACCTAGAAGATGAAATGAGATGCTTTCTGTCTAAAGTGCTGTTAGATGTTGAGCCAGCAGGGATCATTGTTATCAGATCCTCTAATCACTTGTGTGATTAAAAACCTTGGAAAAATGTACATGTTTGAGCTACTTGCTTGTAAGTAAAAATGAAAGTTTATTGCCTTTCTGAATGTGTGCTGTAGCTCAGCCTTTGGTGAGGTGTGAACCCAAAGCTTCTGTAAAATCCCTCCCTGTGGTGCCTTTGGCTAGCTGGGGTTTGCTGGTCTCCCTGCAGCACTTGGAAGGTGGTGCATTTGCCTTGGCTTGGGGTGTCTCTGAAATGAAGAGCTCTGCCACCAAGTCATCCGGTGGTCTTCGCGGTTTGCTTGTGGCATGTTGCTCACAAGTTTCAAATAGAGGTTGGTGTGGAAAGCTGCAGCACAGCATCTTTCGTTTTTTTTCTATAAATAGCTAGAATAAAAAGGTCTGTTTGTGAGACTGGAAACATTGCACGTAATAGCTCACCTTCTAACAATATGCTGAAGTTCAGGGAGTCCTCTGCTTTTCTACTTTGACTCCTGTACCTGGGAATGGTTTGTGTGTACAGGCAGAAGGGAGCCAGACTGTGCTAACGTTTCTCTGTGCTCCTGATGTGTGTTAGCTCTGGGAACTGGCAGCTACTGAAAATGAGCTGAGCAAAGCTGCTCCTGGTACCTCAGTGCTGCTGAGGCAGTGGAGAGCCCGAATGCCCCCAGCACAGGATGCCAGTCTGTCTGGCTGTACATGCCACACTGATCCCTGGGCACTGGCAGGCATGTTTGTCACAGAGCCCAGCTTGTGCCTGGGACTCCTGGGGCTGGTAGAAACTGGAAACAAGCTAATGTTCCCTCCTTTAATATTGCATCCACTGTGCTTACAGTGGCTGCAGCAGTTTGGATTTTCAGCTGTAAAATTTTGCAGGAAAATAAGAGTTGTTGACAGCAGTGATTATTTTTTTAATATCCATTGCAGCTTGCCCTTTGTGACTTTGTGATACAGTGTTTGCTGATTAGGAAATCAGAGGGGTTCCAATCAACCTGACTGGGTTCACTGGATTTTCTGGAAGTACCCTGTGTGTGCCAGCAGAGTCCCACATGTGTGGGGAGAGTATGGTGACCCTCACTGGGATGGAATGACAGCTTTCTCAAATGGATCTCCTGGGCAGTAAAAGACATCTGTGGTCTTGGTTCCCCCCTGGTAATCTCAAGGACCTGCTTTTACCTTGAAATGACATTTAATGTATAACATCAAAGTAATGACGTTTTTGTTCTAAATTTGTTTGTAAGGCAGAATCTTTAGGAAAGACTGCAAGGAGAGCTCTGTTGCCTGAGCTGCTCTCTTCTGAAGGCACAGAGCATCCCAGAAGATCTCAGAGAAGATGTTGTCATGCTGTGACCTGCATTGCCTTGCAAGACTGAAAATTTGGGCGTGAACCTTTGTTAACTAATTTGCGTTAAAGTTTATTTATTTGGTTGGTTTTTGGTTTTATCTCCTTCCCTCACAGTTTAGTTCTTCCTAAATTCAAGATTTTACTTTGGTCCAGGGATGGATTATCACTGTGTTAATTCTTGGTTATCCCTGTGACTTGACTGTGGTCCTGCCATTCTTTGTGCTTGCAATGGGTCTTAAAGAAAAAAAAAAAAATTAGATGTACAAGATTGTAATTGTTGAGATAAAATGTCCCTGTTGGTCTCATGAGACCCCACCTGGAGGGCTGCACGCACCTGGTGTGGGGTCCCCAGCACAGGAAGGACATTGGC